GCAGTCGTAAATAAAAACATTCATCATTGCTTGGATGTACTGAATAAATTTAACCAATCGCATAGGTGGAATATACATCTGGGTATTTATATTCAGCTCGATTCAAACTTGCGTGATTATTAGTTGAATGTCGCGCTCGCGCTCACACGTTTGTGAAATCCGAATTCTTTCACGTTCTTGTGCACTTTGGTTAGATCGGTAATTACCTTGGTTTGTAGCATTTTTGGTTTTTCTACCTAAAGTGCTTCGTCGTATAGGAGGCATATCAAATATAAATTATTGTGTCACATGCAATAATTAGTGATCATAGGTAACTTAACACTCTGCACAAAACACGATATACGAATTTAATTTGTGTATCAGTTGACAAAAGCAAACTCGGTATAGTAGGTAAGAGAAAATCCAAGAAAAACAACACTTACGACATATTGACAAATAATCGACCACCATAAATGATGATCTTGATCAGTGATTACATTGCTATGGAGACGATTAATATTATACTATCCATATTATAGTAAGGGCTGTTTTAAAAAGAAAAGGGCTGTTTTTAGGGTCTTTCCAGCAATTATTCGAATTTTTCTCGCTGTAAAAACTATCCTTGGACTTCAACGAACATTAAAAAAAAAAATTGGCGAAATTGATCCAGGCGTTGTTGAGTGATGCGCTTACCAATACATTTTGCGATTCATTTTTATATTATATATATATATATATATTGACTTGTAACGGACTTAAAATGTATAAAATATGTAAATACCGTTGCACTGTACGAGTAACATGTACTAATTTAATCATAACATATCCTAAAGTTTAATGTTTTCAAAATTTCATACCACAATATTACCGATTATTATTTTGAATAATACGATGGAGGCATTGGTCTTATATTGATATACACATATTACATATAGTGTTTTCTTCTAATCAAACTTTTAGTGGTAGATAAATTGTTTGATAATAGTTTTATATAGCTCAACTTTTAAGTAGAAATAAATAACACAGATGTTAGCAAAGTGAGTTTAGAAAAGTTATTTTTTAATTTTATCGCAACAATAATAACAGTTAAGTAGTATTATTAAAATCACCCGTTTTCAGCCAAAACTTGATACTATGAGTATTTGGGGTAAGTATACATCAGCTTAAAAACTTTTTTTGGTGCACGTTGACTCTTTATAGTAAGTACTTATTTATTATTAGTACGATTTAATATATAGGTATAAGTCATCGATTTTAAGATTTTTATTAAAATAAAAAGTATATGGTTATTAACCATATTGATTATAATTCATTAGTAATAACTTATAAATAATGTTATCTTTAATATAGCTCTTTATTTTTTTAAGTTATAATATCAATTTGCTATAAATGTATAAAGATAGTATTGAAAATATTTTTAGACATGCTATTTCAGATATATATATATTTTATATAAACGCGTTTTCAGAATATTACGATTTATGAAAGTAATTTATTTTATTTATGAAAATATTTATCATTTATCATGTATGAGAACGATGATAACAATTATAATGTAATATTTTTGCTATATACCTAATTATAATTTAATGTTTATTAATCGTAAGATAAAATCTATACATTTTAAGTTGTACAACTTGATCACACTAAAATACCTAACAAATGACATATTATACATCTTATTTTATACTGAAATATCATTGGAATAATATAACTATTATGATGATGGAGGTCGTTGCATATATTTTTTTAAGGAACAATAGAAAAAAATAAACTATCATTACATTCCAAATACTATTCGCTTGATACGTGTTTAGACTTGGTAATTAAAAATATAACTAGTAATGTTGAAAAATATAATAACAATATTTTAAGATTTCCGACATATAATATGATACTATTGTAGAAATAARGTAGTCTAATATTAATGATGAAAAGACAAAACGCTAACCTTTTAGAATTTAACAAAAATCAAATTTCATATAAAAACATAACTCACAGTATTTTTTTAACAAGAATGGTAAAGTAAAAGTTTTCCAATGAAATTATTGTTTTAGTTCAATATCTATAATATTATTTGAGTAGAAAAAATTTTCCAAAATATTTATTGTAGAATTTCGACATCTGTTAATTCACTGAACAATTGAACAAGAACAATTTTACAGATATTCATAAAATACCTATTTACATATAGGTATTCTACAATATTACACTTTTTGTAAAGTTATGGAKTTTTACTAATTTTGGAAAACAATATTAATTACTTTAGATTTGATTGGACAACTCTAAATTTGTTGATAAACAAATATTACCTATTTGGTAACATAAGAGCTTAAATTATATAAATCTAATCTCTAGTATTAAACACTATAATTAAGATTTTCTAAAAAATAATGATCACTCACCGACATCTTCGATATCTTCAATCTCCTCTAAAGGCATACTAACCCTAATTAAATGATCCAATCACAAAAGGTGAACTTTTTTTCGCACTAAGAAAATGCAAAATAAAAGTGCTGCTGGCTTTGATAATATTTCTTACATAGTTAATACATAACTTCTCTATTAATACTTATCAAACATACTAAATGTAAACAACTTTATACAGGTAGATGAACATTTTTTTTCCACAGTTATAGATAAATTATACGGTCATCTTAATAAATAAATAAGGCAAGAAGAAATTCTTCCAGGATAGAWAAATCCCTACATCATTCCTTWATACACTATGTGAACTGCTTGAAAAAATTGAGAACTTAGACTCACATGTGGTTTTTAGAAAAAAATCAATTATTCACTCTGAAACAATGTAGATTCCAAAAAACAGCTCGTTTTACTGCTTAACTAAAATAAATTATGAGGTTTAAAATTGTTTATCTCTAATTCATATCTTGGCATTATCAGAACCAGACATGCATTAAAATTACGCAATACAACCCAGAAATCATCTATAATTAACAATAGCAAATTAGCTTTGAGCAACAGACACATGTTTTTAAATGTATACACCATATCATTAAAAATAAAACTTTCTAAGTGATAGTCGGTCAAACCATATSCATACAATTTTCGAAAATTAATGGTTTTCCTCAGGGCTTAACAATTTCAGTCACTCAATGTCTCGTCTCCATCAGAAAAACTACAAAGAACATTACATCTTCCGCCCAATCAAAATTTTACGCTGACAACTTTAATATATTTTGCGATAGTAAAAGTATAACTACTGTCGAAGCTCAATTACGTCTCAATATTGATAAACTGACAAATTGGTCACAATCATCAGGCTTCTTCTTCTCCTCTGTTGAATTTAAATGTTGAATACTTACTCGCGAGAAAACGCTAACATAGCTCTATAAATATTAACATTTGTGATCACCTCAGTAACAGCAACATAATAATAATTTTAGGTATTCGATAAMAATGTTTATGGTTACATACAACATTATTAAATATCTTAAAATGCAAACTTTCTACGGTTGGACATTATTTATTAAATTGTGTTATAATATTAAGTGTGATATCCCGAATAACTAAAAATTTCCAATAAATAAATGTATGCAACCGTGATTTCGATAGTGAATGACGCAAACAAACTTCATCCGTAATTATTAGTTTCTGAGCGGATCGATGAATATATTGATTTTATAGTGATGTATGTTTTTTGTTTTTGTGTACACAATAAGTTGTTAAAATAATGCTTCGATTTTCAACTTTAGTAGCTTTTCCAGTGGAAAAGTGTATCTAGTTGGTACATTAAGAAGTAAAAATTTTAAATCCTAGTTGTTTTCAAAAGCACAGTGAAAAAAAATTAAAATTAAAAGACGAGAATTTTTACACAAAATAGGTTCTTGAAATTGCTGTAACACTAATCAAATCACCGTTGATACATTCAATTTACACTAAATGTTTTTATTAGMATTGTCTATACACAATGTAATTTAAAAAATATTAAGTTATCCTAGACTGACAAACTGTTTCTGCTCAGAATCGTTTTTCGTATGCAAGAATATTATATAATTGAATTCAAATTTAATACCACCCATAATAGTGACCCACTTGTAACCTACTATAGCAAAGCGACATCCACTTATACCCATTTTATTTTTTGAATGCATTTGAAAACTTAAAATTATATAAATCCACCAGCCACTTAAGGTTGGTAATGCTTCAAAATTGCTGTATCAAAGAAGCGAACTTCTAAAAATGGCAAAAAAACAGTTGAATACAAAATAGTGAGTACCCAAAACGACTAAAATATCTTTTTATGCAGATTAATATATTATAAAATTAAAATATGCAGATGTACTAGTTAAAAATTCAAACGATGACATGCTTAATAATTATTTTGTGTATTTAGAGCAAAGTTAATTAAATTAAATACTGCGCAGGTAAAATATTTTATGTAACACACTGAAGACTGAATTATGACGAGCGACGAGTTAAAATCGTTACTTATGTAGTTATGTCACATTACAAACTGGCATTGGAAATACGTATGTACCAAATATTTAAAATAGCGCATATATTTGCTGTTCGCTAATTTTTTGATTGTTTAGTGGTCAGCAAAAAGTATTGTAGGCACTTATCAAATAAATAAAGCGTTCGTAAAATATAGTGGCATTTATAAATTATATTATAAAATAGAATTGGATGAATCTTTGTAAGAATTAATAAATTACATATGTTTGATCGTTACTCGTATTTTTAACTAGTAGGTATAATGTTATGTATTATTTGAGATGTTAACAGTTTTTAACATTGGAAACTATTATGTGGTTTAAACAATTGTACGCTAAGCAATTTTGTCAYGGCTGTTAGGATTTTCGATATTTTTGGTTTGCTGTTAATTGTTATGTCTTTGACTCGCGTGAKTTACCAAACGCGAGTATCACGAATGTATTTACATAACAGGTTGATAAGCGCTCGCTCGATGGATGTCTATCTTACAATAAGAAGCTTAGACAATATTTTAATTTTTAAATATAATTTAATTTATATTTTTGTAGTATTTTTATACTCACTTATCTGGCAGTTGGATCCGGTCTTGCCAAAAGGACATCGGCAAGTCTGTTTATTCCGGCTGTCGAACACACATATGCCTTCACCGCACTTCCGTACGCACAAAGCCGGCGAGCCTGTGGCAACGGATGTCTGAGTTTCAACGTGCTTTACAAACCGAACACTATCCTCAGAATCCACTTCGTTGGAATCAACAAACGTCAGTCCGATATCTCTTTCGAACTCTTTGATTTTATCCGTCACCGAATCGTTTCCTGTGAAATACAGAATAATATATATATAACTATACGTGACAATAAAGTTATATTCAAGATGATCTACACCATCCCTCTATTTTCTTCAATAATGCAGTTTTTCAAAATATGATTTTTTAATTTTTAAATATACTAAAAGATCATATTTTCAAATGTTTGAGATTTCGTGTACTACACAAAGAGTGTCCAATGCAAATTTTTGATCTTCAAATGAAAACTCCCATTGTATACAGTATTTTTTTTTTTTTTTATGATGTAATAACAAAATTAAAATTATTCAGTCGAGTAGTTTTAAAGTTGTTTAACTAAGTGAACTAAGGATAACATAGGTCCATAATAATGAGTTTAAAAGATACRGGGTAGGGGCTATGAAAATTTATAATTAAAAAAAAATTGACAAATTATCATAAGCACTAAATTCCAAGAAATTATCATCGCTCCTATAGTTCAGAAACGTGGAAGTTCAACAAAGGGGACTTTTTTAACACTATAAAATATGTGCATGCATATTACATAATATGATCTTTATTATTATTATTATTATTATTATTAATAATGTTGAATTACTGTATAGCATGTACATTCATCTATTAAAGATTGATTCATGATTATGTGTATAAGCGCTAAAACGCTTATAAACTCGTTTGGATTTGTAAATAGCATTATTATACAATATTTGTCGGATATTATAGGGTTCGTATAGCAGAGGTTGGTTAGTCAACGTTCTACTGTAATACACAATGTATTTGTTAAACACTGATAAACGCAGGTATAGAATTTTGATTTTACAAGCGTATAGCCATGATATACGTTGTATGATAGGATCGGTGGTATACAAATTCTGTAATACATTTTTCGGAAAGAATATAATAATACATAGGTAACGTTAGTTGTAGTCGTTGTCATCTTTTGAAAACAGCGATTCATCTATTTCCGAAAAATAATGCTACAGTCGATTAATTAGTTAATTGGTATAACATTCTAATTTGATTTAATTGGTACATTTATAGACCTCCCATCATTATCTTGAAATAYCATTTAGATGTAAGTATGTTGTACTATAATATAACATGTTAGACTGYATAACATATTCAACTCATGTACTATTGTAGGTACATTTTTATTTAGAGTAGATAAAAGATGTACCTACACATCTTTAGACGATTTGTTATCAATTAATCATTCGTTATAACAAACTGAAATATTTATTTAATCGTTAGATTATATTAATTTTGTTATTCAACTCATGTCACCTAAAAAATTATTATCATTACCTATTATCTTTATCAAAATATAACGTCACAAATTACAAACTGACAAACATGGTAGGTATTCTAAWTTGCATGTATACAATAAATACCTAAGCTTTATTTAATAAAGCTAAAAATATTTACAATTCAGTATTTAATATTTACCAAAGTTATTATTGTTAAATACAGTAACACAATTTCGAAAATAAGAAACAGTATATAACTTAATATATAATATATTAACCATAACTATATTATGCCAAATATTTATATGTAGGTAATTTATTAGAAAATATATTATATAGTGTAAAACAAGACAAATTAGCCATTAGGTATATACAATGTTTTATTATTTTTATTTTATAAAAACGATAATTTTTATTTTTGTATTACTAACTAATTTTTTCAATAATTTTGCTCCAAACGGATCTTATAATACATGATTTAAGTTGGAAAAATTTGATTTTACCTTTATGTTGTAATTTATTTAGACTTTTAACTTTGTCTGATAAATATTTTTAATATTTTTAACTTTAAATTATCTCTAAAKGCAATACAGCTTTAACTTGAGCTGTTAAATGTCAAATTGCTATCTTCATATTGTTTGAAAAGTGTAAGCGATTATCTTAAAAATAAATTGGTGCTTGTTCGTCAAGCAATTGAAATTTAAGAAATGAAAGCAATTTGAACAATCTTTTAAACACCACATTCAACTCAGAACTTATTTTTAAAATAAAACCACTTATTAAAACCATGTTTAAAYTGCAGTATACAAGCATTTTTAAAGTTTTTGAAGTTATATGTTTTTATGAAATTGGTATTATGTATATTCTCAAACTTGTTATAAATAAAAATAGTTTAAATTTGAAGTGTATTAATTGTATAACTAATTTGAAAATAAAATAATTTTTAGTCCATTTTTGAACACAAGTCAAACGAGAAAATACGGAATAAGACCTAATTTAAATAATACTMGCATTTTAAATAATTTAGTACTTTTTAATCTTTTGAATTTACATTTTTACATAAAAGCAATAAATTTACTTATTTCTTCTTTTGAACTATGTATGTTGGAATGTGCTTGTAGAAAGAGAGAACAAGTATTTGATGAAGATATTATTAATCTTTGTTTGGTTGATCATTTGTAAATTTAAAGTAGAGAACCRACTAAAGGAAATGTATAATAAAATAACAAACAAGGGGAAAAGATTAAATTGAATGTATTATATAAGTATAAGATATACGATATATAGCTACCATAAAATGATAAACATTAGACTCAGACTGTCGAATAAAAAGATTAATAGGTTAGAGAGAAAATTAAATATAAAATGTATAATAGTTGATAACTAATGTTAACATTTAAAATACTATATCAAGTATAGGTATTAACCATCGATATTATAATCCTAAAAAAAAATAATATATATGTGTAATGAAAATATTAAATTAGGTACCTATTGTAGTTAAAATGGGTAAATAATATTAGTTAAATATTTAAACGTTTGTTTTAAGTAAAATAATATTTTAGTTAAGGAATATTTTATACGCAACAAGCTTTATATTTTGATTGGCAATAATTAAAATAAGTTGTATGGCAAGTGTTCAGATGATTTTTTCCTCAGAAAACATTTTTATTTCTACGACAGTTGTTTTTATTTAAAAAAAAGTATTTTGTTGTTGCTAAGGTAGATAACGATTTTTTTTCAGAGTACCATGTTTTTGTGTCCGGAAATACTTTTTGTTACAGACGTTAAACATTAATAACAAGAGATTTTTTCTCGTAGGGTTCCTCGTAAAATAAAACTCTTAGCTCACGAATATGAAYAATAATATCATGTTTGATGAAACATGACAACGTAATCTTTATTTTGATGAATATAGGAATTTACATAAAATACAATTGAATGTTATGTTACATTAAAAAATATTTTATCTTATTCATATATATCTAGTAAACAGTTATATCTTCTTGTAAGCAAAAATTATCTTATTATTAAATAATATTTTAAATATTATACAAATAAGTTATTCGTTTATTAGTCAGAAACAGAGTATCTCACTACTTTTATCAATCATTAACTTTTTACCTAGTTAAACAGTATTTGAAATTTAACTTTGATAATTATTATTTTACTTAAAAGCCGCAGTATTGATAATAGTATATAGTATTTTTAAGTTCCATTAAAACATTMTTTTTCATATTCCCTAGAAAATCTGGAATATCTAACATATCAAAGCTATTTAGATAATAAACTAGCTATTGCATTTTTTATTTTTAGAGTTTAATTTCTTCTTTAAATTAAATATTGAAATAATTAAATAAGTTTTAAAGTTTAAACAGGAGGCTGGTTGAAAGTAGTACCTTACCTATATAATATATATTATGCCACATGAATTTATTCGCAAGATGMAAAACACGTTAAGATGATATCTTAAAGACATTTCGTATATGAGACTAGTTTGGTACTGTATAAAATGTCCTAGGCATAGTCGTTAAAATTCAGATGGTGATATTTTTGTTGAACAACGTGATTGAGATATTTATTTTATATTATTATTTTTAGCTAATTAAGCATACTTGTGCAAGTATAACCATCTTCATGTAATGCAAATCCTGTTTTGCAATCGCATTCAAACATGCCGTCGTGGAGCTCGTAGCAAAGTTGTTCACATGGACTATCGTGGCCACAACGTCCTAAGACAAAAAAAATAATATTTAATATATTCTATACGGTTAGTCAACTTACATAAATGATGATCTATTACAATTTAAAATTTTTTAACGTTAACTCATTGAACATAAAATGTAATGTAARAACTAACAACATTTTTTCTGGAATATATAAGCATAATTGCAATTATAGTTAGATGTGAATTTTTACCATACCATTGATATTACTTTATAATATAAATTGCGATTTACACTAACTTTTTATTAAACTTATTTAGTACTAGTGAAAACTCATTTTTAAAGTTGATAAAAATATTTATTTTGTTCTTATTCTCTGARAAATAAAAAATTACCTACAGAAAAAGTTAAACATTTATTTTTTCTAATACCAATTTAGATGGTTTAGATGAAATATTGTTTGAATGTAGTCATCAAAATCATTTAAATTTTAAATTAGAAACATACATACTATGTCATTTATTAAGAAAAAAAAACACTTTAAAATAAAAATATGAAATTCATAAGTCAGATGCAGGCTACTGTAGTAGGTGTCACAATATTTGAAAGTAATGATAAAAGATCTAAAAAAAACTATTCAAGCTTAGCTTTGCTTACCTAAAAAAAAAAATCAAAAGAGATAGTAAGCAAAAAAAAATAACAAACTATTAAAGACTACACTAAGAATCTAAAATAAAATTTTAAGAATTCAAAAATTATCATATATTTGAATATTCATACAATTCAAAAAAGTGCACAACTATTATTAATATTATTGCGTTATTAAAAAATAAAATTAATATTGTTCACAAGTTTATAGGTAAGTAAAGGTAGTTTATTTCAAATGAATATCTGTACTCACCAATTAGTGTTATATTTTTACATTTATAACACGGAAGTAGAAATTAAAAACGTACTCGTATATACATACATGTAAACCCAATTTTAATCTCAAACTTCATAAAGCCAACAAACTTATAAATGTTGAATTAAATCATCAGAACATAAATTATTATTTATTATTTTATTTAATCAGTATAATTATATTTTTTCATATAATATTTCTTATTTAAATTAAAATATGTGATTATAGTYTGAGTCATCAATAATTAGAATTAGAAAACTTTGGTGGGATGCAAAAAATATACAGGGTGTCCCGTGAGGATTTACCCATTGCGATATCTCTCTTAATAATGGAAATACTAAAATTCTGGTTTTATAATAAAACTCTCAGGGATTAGAACTACAATTATTTCATTTTAATTTATTTTAATGTTTTGGCAAAAAAATTAAAAAATATATTTTTTTTATTTAATAATTTCCAAAAAATT